CCACCCACACGACCAACCATGGCCAGGGACAAACTGCAACCAAAGTACACACCCTTAGCGGGAACCGAACCCGGGTCTCTCTGGACTGCAGGCCGACACTCTAACCGCTGAGCAAACTGGCCAGGGCTAGCGTGCTTGTTTTAAGTACACTGGTTATTCAATTTGCTAATATCTTATTTAATAATTTTGCACACATGTTCTTAAGTAAAATTGATCAACACTGCTTTTTTTCTTTTACTGTACAGTTCTGATATTGAGATTATTCTAGAATTATATAGAATTGGGTCACTTTCTCTACTTTTCTATACTTGTAAAATAATGATTTATTCCTTGAATTTGTTAAAATTCAACTGTGGCCCTGGCCAGTTTGGCTCAGTGGTTAGAGCGTCAGCCTGTGGTCCAGAAAGACCGGGGTTCGATTCCCGCTAAGGGCATGTACCTCTGTTGCAGTTTGTCCCCGGCCCTGGTTGGGTCATGTGAATGGCAACTACTGGATGTGTCCCTTTCACATCGATGTCTCTCTCTCTCTCTCTCTCTCTCTCTCTTCCTCTCTCTCCCTCCCACTCTATCTGAACAAAAAATAAAAAAATGTCCTCGGGTGAGGATAAAAAAAAAAAAATCATCTGTAAAACCATCTTCAGTTTTCCAGTAAACTCGGGATATAGAAATAGGGTGGAAGAGAAAGAGACATTAATTAGTTTCTTCAGGCTTTCCATTTCTCTGAATCAGATTTAGTAAATTATGATTTTTTAGAAAATCACCCACTTCTATGCCAAATTTACTGGAATAAAATTTTTATATAATTCTCACAACTTAAAAAATAAAACCCTATTACATATATAACTCCAACCACTTTTTCATTACTAATATCATTTATCTGTGCCTTTTCTCTTTCTCCTTAAGCCCTAGTTAGAGGTTGGTCTTTTTCATTAGTTTTCAAAGAAATTACTTCAGATTTTGTTTAGTCTCTAATGTTTCTTTGTTTTCCATTACATTAATTTAAAATCAAACAACAAGTGCTGGCAAGGGTGTGGAGAAAAGGGGACTCTAGTACACTGCTGGTGGGAATGCAGACTGTTGTAGCCACTATGGAAAACAATATGGTGTTTCCTCAAAAACTTAAAAATTGAATTGCCATTTGACCCAGTGATCCCACTTCTAGGAATATGTCCTAAGAAGCCTGAAACAGCCATCAGAAAGAATATATGTACCCCTATGTTAATAGCAGCACTATTTAAAATTGCTAAGATCTGGAAACAGCCCAAGTATCCATCAATAGATGAGTGGATAAAAAAGCTGTGGTACATATACACAATGGAACCTTATGCAACTGTAAGAAAGAAAGATCTCGTATCCTTTGAGACAATTTGGAGGGACTTGGAGAGTACTATGCTAAGCAAAGTAAGCGAATCAGAGAAAGACAAATACCACATGATCTCACTTATTTGTGGACTATAATGAACAAAAAAAGCTGATAAACAAAACAGACCCAGAAAGACAGAAAAGAGTATAGTTCATACTGACAAACCTCAGAGGAAAGGAGTGGGGGGGTGGGGTGAGGAGATAAACCAAAGAACTTACATGCATGTATGTGTAACCAATGGACATAGACAACAGTGCTTGGTGGAGGGCAGGATAGGGAGGAGGGTGTCAATAAAGGGAAAAGGAGAAACATTTGTAACAAAAATAAATTAATTAATAAAAAATTTTCAAAAGAAAATAAATAAAATCTAATCTATGTTACTTTCTTCTGCTGCTTCCTTTAAATGTTATTATTCTGCCCGGCCGGTGTGGCTCAGTGGTTGAGCATTGACCCATGCACCAAGAGGTCGCCATTTGATTCCCGGTCAGGGTACATGCCCACATTGTGGGCCTGATCCTCAGTGGAGGGCATGCAGGAGGCGGACAATTGATGTTCTCTCTCATCGATGTTTCTCTCTCTCACTCTCCCCCTCCTTCCTCTCACTAAAATCAATAAGGAAAATAATTTTTGTTAATTATCTTTTCATTGTATTACAGTCATATAAAATAATCAATAAAATATGAATCCTTTGAAATGTGTTATTTTAATATTCTAGTAGGAATTAATTTCTATAAATGTTTTATATATACCTTAAACAAATGCCCACGTTGCGTTTTTGGATTGTAGGATTCTATATTTACTATTTGAATAGATGTGTTAATTACGTTGTTGGAAGATTTTACACACCCTTACTAAATTTTGTCTGCTTGATTATAGATGCATTAATCTTATAATATTATAAAGACTTGTCGATTTCTCCTACTTATGAAAATTTTTGTTTTAGCCCTGGCCGGTTTGGCTCAGCGGTTAGAGCGTCAGCCTGCGGTCTGGAGAGACCCGGGTTCGGTTCCCGCTAAGGGCACGTACCTTGGTTGCAGTTTGTCCCCAGCCCTGGTTGGGTCGTGTGGGTGGCAACCACTTGATGTGTCGCTTTCACGTCGATGTTTCTCTCTCTCTCTCTCCCTCTCACTCTATCTGAACAAAATATTGAAAAATGTCCTCGGGTGAGGATAAAAAAAAAAAAAATTTTGTTTTATACATACACACATATACAACTACATATTTTAATATATATGAACATATGTGGTAAAGATATATTATTTTGGGCATACCAATTTGTAATTGTTTATCTTCCTAGTGAATTAAACCCTTTGTCATTATTTGGCCATTCAAGAAATTAGATGCTCCATTTTACCTCTCAAGGTAGGAGTAATAGCTTCAAAGATATAAACAACTGGAAGTTCAAAAGACCTTTCCTGGTCCCTATTTAACTCATAGTCTTATTCTCTCTGCTACCCAGTCTTGGCTCTTTTCTTATTTAATTCTGTTATTAGGCTAGAACTAGCCATCTTTCCTAGATGCTTACTTTATCATTATTATTTACACAGTGAGGACAGTTTAAAACTTACAGAAATTCCCATTCCCCCCTAGAGAGTATGAACCTGCATGCCTTTATTAAAAGTATTTATTATACCCTGGCCGGTTGCTCAGTCATTAGAGCATTGGCTTGTGGACCAATAAGTCGCAGGTTCAATTCTGATCAAGGGCACATATCTCGGTTGCAATTTGTCCCAGCTCTGGTCCGGGTCATGCAGGAGGCAACCAGTTGATGTGTCACTCTTACATCGATGTTTCTCTCTCTCTCCCTCCCACTTTATCTGAAGATAAATAAAAAAATATCCTTGGGTGAAGATAAAAAACAAAACTAAACTAAAAAAAGAAGTATTTATTGCCCTGGCTGGTTTGGCTCAAGGGTTACGAACACTGGCCCACAGACTGAAAGGTTTCAGGTTCAATTTCTGGTCCAGGGCACATACCTGGGTTGAAGGTTTAATGCCTGGCCCCAGTCAGGGTTGTGCAGGAGGCAGCCAATTGATGTGTCTCTCTCACATAGATGTTTCTCTCTCTCTCTCTCTCTCTCCCTCCCTCCCTTCCACTCTATCTAAAAATCAATGGAAAAATATCCTCAGGTGAGGATTAATTTAAAAAAGAAGTATTTACTGAGCATCTACTATGTATCAGGTACTGTGCTAGGTGCTAGCATTCAATGATAAACAAAAATAAAGAAGATTGCTGTCCTCCTGGAGCTTAGACTTTGGAAGAGGGCAAATCACACAAATAAATACAAAGAAGGTACTATTCTGGAGGTCTATAAAAAGAGAGATCTGACCTTGTCAGAAAGGTCAAGGAAAGCTTTCTTGATAAAGTAAAATTTGAATTGTAATCTAGAGGAGAAAAATTTAACTACATAAAAAACAGAAAGTGTTTCTAGATGAATGCACAGCATTTCTATGGATCCTGAGGTGAGTGAATGGATTTGAGTATAGTGGCAAAAGAAGGCAAATGTTGCTATAACAGAAAGAGCAAGACTATTCTGTTAAGGTGTTTTGTTGCTATCCTACAAGTATTACAAGCTATTAAAAAGTTTAAAGTAAAAGAGGTGACAAATTATAGTTGAATTATGAAAGGATCAATATGGCTTCGATGTACATAATAGAAAAAAAGTGGGTTTCAGTAGATATGGGGTGAACCAAATAGGAAGTCATTGCATAAAGAAGGAAATAATGGTATATTTAACTAGCGGGATAGTGGTAGAGATGTAGAGAAGAAGATGAATTTGAGAAATATTAAGGAGGTAAAATAAACAGGACTTGATTATACTGTAAAGAAAGAGAGGAAGTCAGCCCTTGAATACAGTCAGGCTTTTGGTATGCATAAATAGAGGATTCCTTTTACAAAGAGGAAACATGCTTAGGCAAATATTATAAGTTGGTTTTGGACAAAGTGAATTGGAAATGCCTTTTACTAAAAGACGATGTTGGACTTATGCATCCAGAGCTCAGAGGTCTGGGTCAGAGATGCAAATGTACAAGTTATCTATTGACTGCCAGAAATATGAAGATTATCCAGGGAAAGAGTACAGAAGAAAAAGAAAAAAGGACCTAAGATTAATTATTGAAGAACTTCAGCTCTAATGACTGAGTAGAAGATTATAAACCAGCAAAGGACAGAGAGAAATCTATCTAGAAAGATAGGAGAAAAACCAATTAGACATTGTGTCACAAGTCAAAAGAAAATGAGTAATTCAATAATAAGGTAATGATTAGTAGCATCAAAAAAATAAAATAGGGCCCTGGCTGGTTAGAGCGTCGGCCTGCGGTCCGGAGAGACCCGGGTTCGGTTCCCGCTAAGGGCACGTACCTCGGTTGCAGTTTGTCCCCGGCCCTGGTCGGTCGTGTGGGTGGCAACCACTCGATGTGTCGCTTTCACGTCGATGTTTCTCTCTCTCTCTCTACCTCCCACTCTATCTGAACAAAATATCGAAAAATGTCCTCGGGGTGAGGAAATAAATAAATAAATAAATAAATAAATAAATAAATAAATAGGTCTTTCTCCTTGTACACATTTTACATCATAATCAGTATGGCTTCACTGTGAATTCTTACTTTTCTAATTACTCATGCTTATGTATACTTACTTAAAGTATTCATCAGAAGGCCACTGTTGTTATGATATCTATTATGACCGGCATCTGTATCAGGAATCCTGCATTGTGGCATGGCAGACATGGTAGGATGTCCTGCATCAGAAGGAGAGGATCTGTCGTCTTCATCTTCTGAGTCACTAGAACTATCCGCACTGCTTGAAGATGAACTTTTAGAATCTGATGAACTATCACAACTACTCATCTGGTCCATTAGACTAGCTTCCGCCTTCAGTTCTGAAAATATAACAGAAGTTAAAGATAGGGTAAATAAATATTACATAAACATAAAATTTCAATGTGCTAGTTTCTAAGGAAGTGTTGATGAAGAATAAGACCAAACGTACATTTACAGCATTTTATTTAAAAAACTTCTCTACTGCCCTGGCTGGTTTGGCTCAGTGGCTAGAGCGTTGGTTGCAGTCCAGAGAAACCCACTAAGGGCATGGTTCCCGCTAAGGGCATGTACCTCGGTTGCAGTTTGTCCCCAGCCCTGGTTGGTCGTGTGGGTGGCAGCCACTCAATAAGTCCCTTTCACGTCGATGTTTCTCTCTCTTCCTCTCTCTCCCTCCCACTATAGCTGAACAAAAAATGGAAAAACGTCCTCGGGTGAGGATGAAAAAAAAAAAACTTCTTTACTAATACAAATGAAAAATAACATCCTTCTCTTATCCCGTCTTTAAGTTCCTTTAAGCCTGCTCCCAAGGAATAATCACTGTTAACACTTTCTTATGACCATATGTTTTTAAATTCTGCTTGGAAACTGGCATTTTAGATTTTGACACCCAACTCACTCTTTGTCACCATCCAACTTAGAGTTAAAAAAATAATAAAGAAAAAGAAAGGAGCAATTCAAATTTTCCTGCAAAAGCTGCATCTGTGGACTCAAGGTTTTCCTGTTCGGCTCTTCTCTGCAGTACCTCTTTCTCCCTGATCTATTTCTGGACAACACGCATAGAGTTCAAGAAACTCCCCCCAAAATTTTTAAAAAGCTTTTCTACCATCAAGCCAACCCATATTAAAATGTTGAAATTATGAAAAGTAAAAGACATAGGCAGTGTCTAAATTTAAACACTACATTTATTTATACTATTATACTCAAATGCACATGTAATTCAAATAAAATATAATAAAAATGTGAAAGGTTAAAACTGTAAATATTAAAACCTATTTAGGCAGAAACCATCCTCCAATTCCTTTTCTTGTTTCCTCAGTACCTATAATGTAATGCAATATACACAAATGAATTTCTTTTTGTGTCAGCTCTATTGAGGTATAATTGACAAATAAAGTTGTATATATTTTTAAATGACAATTAGTTTTTATCATGAAAGTACATTAAATTTTTGTCAAATGCTTTTTTGCATCTATTGAGAATATCATGATTTTTAGTGTTCATTTGTTAACATGGTATATCATACTTATTGCTTTGCATATGTTGAAACATCCTTGCATCCCAGGTTAAAAAACAAAAAACAAAAAACACTTCATCGTGGTGTATAATCCTTTTACTGTGCTGTTGAATTCAGTTTGCTAGTTTTTTTGTTGATAATTTTTACACCTATGTTCAACAGATATTGGCCCATAATTTTTTTTTTTAAATCTTTATTGTTGAATGTATTACAGATATTCGTCCTCAACTCCACTCCTGCCCCCATCCTGCCTTTTCCCACACTGTTGTGTGTCCATTGGTTATACATATAAGTTCTTTGGTTTATTTCTTCCCACCCCACAACCCCCTTCCCTTTGAGGTTTGTCAGTCTAGCAACCAATTTGTACTTCTTAATTCCCTTCATATTTGTCACCCATTCCCTCAACCCCCATCCCATCTGGCAACCAACAAAATGTTTTCTGTATCTATGAGAATGTTTCTGTTATGCCTGTTCATTTTGTTTGTAGATTCCATTGTCGATAGATATGTATTCATTGCCATTTTGTTTGTTCATATATTTTATCTTTTTCTTCAAAAAGACACTTCAACATTTCATATAATAATGGTTTGGTGGTGATGAACTCCTTTAGCTTTTTCTTGTCTGGGAAACTCTTTATATGGCCATTGATTCTAAATGACAGCTTTGCAGCATAGAGTAATCTTGGTTGTAGGTTCTTGCTTTTCATCACTCTGAATACTTCTTGCCACTCCCTTCTGGCCTGCAAAGTTTCTTTTGAGAAATCATCTGACAGTTTTATGGGAACTCCCTTGTAGGTAAATAACTGCTTTTCTCATGCTGTTTTTAAGATTCTCTCTTTGTCTTGAACTTTTTGCATTTTGATGAACATGCGTCTTGGTGTGGACCTCTTTGGGTTCATCTTGTTTGGGACTCTCTGTGCTTCCTGGACTTGTATGTCCGTTTCCTTCACCAAGTAAGGGGAGTTTTCTGCCATTATTGTTTCCAATAGGTTTTCGATTTCTTGTTGTCTCTCTTCTCCTTCTGGCACCCCCAAGATGCGAATGTTGGCACGCTTGAAGTTGTCCCAGAGGCTCCTTACACTATCCTCATTTCTTTGAATTCTTTTTTCTTTTTGCTGTTCTTTTTGGGTGTTTCTTGCTTCCTTATATTCCAAATCGATGGTTTGCTTCTTGGCCTTACCTACTCTACTATTGAATCTGTGTAAATTATTCTTTATTTCAGTTAGTGCCTCCTTCATTTCTGACTGGTCCTTTTTTGTGCTCTTGAGGCCCTCACTAAGTTCACTGAGGTTCTCACTAAGTTCATTGAGCATCCTTATAAGCAGTATTTTGAACTCAGCATCTGTTAGGTTGCTTATCTCCATTTTGCTTAGTTCTTTTCCTGGGGTTTTGTTCTCTTCTTTCATTTAGGACCTGTTTCTTTGTCTCCTCATTTTGGCTGCCTCCTTGTGTTAGTTTCTATGTATTACTTAACGAGAGGCATGGGGCTAGCTGAGACCAGATGCCGCCTGTTTGAAAGAATTTAGGAAAACCTGAAGCAGGATCCAAGACAGCCAATCCTATGGTTAAGCAACTGGCAACAGCTTGGGTGGGCCTGAAAGATGGGTCGGGTGGGGCCTCAGGGAATCACCAGGATGGGGCAACCAGTGTGAGCCAGGTTGCTGGACCCCAGATATGGTGACTGTCTGCTGCCCCAGGGAAGGGCTCACCAAAGGAACAAAGGTCTCTGACAGCACATCTGTCCAGGAGAAAGCCCCCTCTCCAGCCCTCGCTCCATTGCCAAACAGCTCAGTTCTTCCTTGTATGTCTCTGGCGCCCCTTGAGCTGCCTCCCCTCCAAGCTGAGAACGAATGAGTCCAATAAGTCCGTGCGCAGGCCCTTTAAGAGGAGCTGCCTGGGGCTCCAGCTGCCTCAGCCTCCCTGAGCCTCAGTTCCTGCTGTTTTTTTCCAGCCAGAAGTTATAGGGACTTCTCTTCCTGGCACTGCAACCCTGAGCGAGGCACCTGGTGTGGGATGGGGACCCCCTCAGTCCTCAGGGAGAACTTTGGCAGCTGAGGTATCCTCCTGATTTTTATCCGCCACACGTGGGTGTGGGACCAGCCAGTCCGCCTCCGCCCCTCCCACCAGTCTCGATGTGGCTGCTTCTTTAATTCTGTAGTTGTAGGACTTCCATTCAGCTTGATTTCAGGCGGTTTTGAATGATGGTTGTCCTGTAGTTTAGTTGTAACTTTAATGTGGTTGTGGGAAGACGTGATACCGCGTTTACCTATGCTGCCATCTTGACCGGAAGTAATTTTTTCTTATAGTGTCCTTGTCTGGCTCTGGTGTGAAGGTAGCACTGGCCTCATTAAATGCATGTGAAACTGTTCCCTCCTTTTCAATTTTCTGGAATAGTTTGAGAGTACATGGCATTAAGTCTTCTTTAAACATTTGGTAGAATTTATCAGTGAAGCTGTCTTGTCCTGGCATTTCTTTGCTAGGAGATTTTTAAATTATTTATTTCTTTTATTTTTATTGTTCAGAGTATTACAGATATCCTCCATTTTCCCCCTCCATCCGGTTCCTGCCCCACCCCAGGCCTTCACCACACTATTGTCTGTGTCCTTGGATTGTGTATATATGCACATAAGTTCTTTGGTTATTCTCTGCCTGCTCTCCCTCCCACCTTCCCACTGAGATCCATCAGTCTGTTGCATGCTTCCATGTCTCCAGATCTATTTTTGTACATTGGTTTATTTTGTTCATTAGATTCCACATATAAGTGAGATCATGTGATACTTGTCTTTCTTTGACTTGCATATTTTGCTTACCATTATACCCTCCAGGTCCCTCCATGCTGTCACAAAGAGTAAGAGATCCTTCTTTATTACGGCTGCATAGTATTGTTAAAAGGTTATTATTATTATTATTATTATTATTATTATTATTACTGATTCAATCTCCTTACATTATTGGCCTGTTCAGATTTTCTACTTCTTCATAATTTAGTTTTGGAAGGTTTCTAGGAATTTATCCATTTCTTCTAGATCAGCAGTTCTCAACCTGTGGGCGTGACCTCTTTGGGGGTCGAACGATCCTTTCACAGGGGTTGCCTAAGACATAACAGTAGCAAAATTACAGTTATGAAGTAGCAATGAAAATAATTGTATGGTTGGGGGTTACCACAACATGAGGAACTGAATTAAAGGGTCGCGGCATTAGGAAGGTTGAGAACCACTGTTCTAGATAATCCAATTTGTTAGCATATAATTGTTCTTTTATTTATTTATTTATTTATTTATTTATTTATTTATTTATTTTTATTTATTGTTTTGTTACAGATATTTCACCTTTTTTACCCCATTGGCACCCCCCTCCCACCCCACCCCCGCCCCGTCCCCGGTTTAGTTGTCCATGTCCATTGGTCATGCATACATGCATATAAGTTCTGTGGTTTATCTCTCCCCGCCCACACACCCTCTTTTGAGGGATGTCAGTCTGTGCCCTACTTCCATGTTTCTGGGTCTACCGTATTCCTCAGACTGTTATGTTCATTATATTCCGTATATAAGTGAGATCATGTGGTATTTGTCTTTTTCTGCTTGGCTTCTTTCACTTAGGATAATACTTTCCAGGTCCCTCCATGTCGTCTCAAAGGATAAGAGATCTTTCTTTCTTACTGCTGCATAGTACTCCATTGTGTATATGTACCACAGCTTTTTTATCCATTCGTCTACTGATGGACACTTGGGCTGTTTCCAGATCTTAGCTATTGCAAATAGTGCTGCTATGAACATGGGGGTACATATATTCTTCCTGATTGGTGTTTCAGGCTTCTTAGGGTATA